TCTGTACCATGCGCTCGGCCGATCCATTGGCTTGGGGGCGATATGCCATAACATAAAATCTCCGACCTCCGACAACCTCCGACCGTAACAAAAGCAGTCCATAATTGTGTATAGGTTATGTGTTTGTGTACTAATTGTGTAAAAAGCTTAGGGGATCAGGTTTTGGGATAGGCGAGGCCAGAAATATGTTTGTAGCGAGTTTGTAGCGAGTTTGTATCCGCAATCTTAGGCTCTGAAACGGCCTGTGGGCTAAGAGAACGGCAATTTATTGATTATGCATTTTTTAAGCCCGGATGGGTGCTCACTCTACACAGCAAAATGCGAAGTGAGACCCGGGTCAGAAATCGGAGTCCACTAATTGAAGCAGATCATTCCTTTTTACGGCACTTTTTACAAGTAATTACGATTAGCAACGACTGGCTACCCTTATCAGTAAGTTGTCTCTAAACGGTTCGCTTGTGGGGCCGCAAAAATAAACAAAGCTTCATTCTTGTTTTTTTCTGGTAAGGGACAAGTCGCCCAGCCGCTACTATCGGTTCGCTAGACTATCTGCGTGTTTGTATATTTCGTGTATGTGCGATATGTGGCCACCTCTGCTGTCTAGGCGATGTGTGCTTGCTTGCGTTGAGGTTAACATTGCTGTTTTGAAAGAAGTTTAAGCTTTGTGTTTGACGCAGCACTCATATGTGTATTTCGTGTACTCTGTAACGAGGTTAACTTTGCTGTTCCAAATGGAGGCTAAGCTTAGTGTTCAATACGGTGCTACCAATGCATAAGTTTAGGTACTGCTTCTTAAGCATGTAATACACCCAGTATTAGCTCCTACTGCTTACTCTGCGTTACCTTCTGCGTCGTTGAGTGAGTTATCCTCCACAGCCTCGTCCTCGAAGAAGCGCTTGCGAACAAGAAGGCGGCGCTCCTTTTCGAAGGCAGCAACAACAGACTTGTGAATGTGCTCCCTCGGCTCCCACGTTGGCTGCCAGTCTACGAGGTAGTACGTCTGCCGTTTCTCGCGCTTCCACGTCATCACCTTGCGTACGTGGTGCTGCTTTTCGCCGCCTACATGATCGTCGTCATCTTCAGTTGGAGGAGGCTCGACTAGCCATTCGCGAACATCATCAAGGCCAGCCCGCCGCTTCTTCCGATCCTTCATGGCTTCGTAGACGACTTGGACGGCTTCGGGAAGAAGGCTTGCGGATGCGACGATCGTGTTCAAGGTGAGTCGGAGGTTGCGAATCGCCTCACCATCCAGGCGAAGCTTGTACGCCTTGCCTGTTGTGATACACAGGGTCTTGAACTCTTTCCAGGAGCTAACAGGGTGCTTGGTCGGCTTGATCGTTGGCATGATGAGCAGTCTGACTGTAAGGTGGGTTGTAAATTGCAGGGTTCTATTCGAATACCACGTTGCTTAAGCTGCTGTGTCCATGTTCTGGTGCTTATATTCATGAAATAGCTGTAAAGTAGCTCCCAGTGCACTTAGACTTTCGAGTCTAACAGCCAATGTGATTTTGTTCTGTCTAAATCAGGCGACAGTCCAGCTCAAGATACGAGGCCATGGCAAGAGCCCCGAGGAAAAGGAAAAGGTTTCCCAACAACTGAGTAGCGGGCTTTGCTGTACAATTAACTCGACTAACTCTGTTCAATGATTAGAATTACCCGCGAGGAACTAGATGATCGCGTACAACGAGCCCGGCGTGAGAGCGCATCCCAATCCCACGAAGAGTCGCGTAAGGAAAGACATCTCCGTAAACAGAGGCTTCGTAGCGCAGAGGCCCGCTACCGCAAGGCAATCCAAGAATTGGAGCAGCTCGAGTTAGTTGAAACCCCAGCACCAACTGAATCCGGACAGATGAGAGCTTCTGGTCCGGCGGTAGAGCGTGAGGAGAAAACGGAAGAAGACGATCCTGCGGAGCATCAACGACGATTCGAGGAGGAGACGCGTCGTGACAGGCAACACGATACCCACGACTTTCAGATTGGAATGTCAGGACCTACGGTCGACGATAGCGCAGCAGCTACACGTGCGCGTGGTGCAGAAAGAGCCCGCGTCAGGCGAGCTGCTATGACGAGTTCACAAAAACAACGGGCACGAGAGAAAGACGCGGAGAGAAAGCGCATACGCAGAGCTAACAGATCCGAATCCCAGGTTATTCGAGATCGGGACCGAAATGCCGAACAAGCGAGGGTCCGACGGGGTCGACTGGAGCCAGAAGGCCTCTCAGTTCATCGAGCATATAGCCGCGACGCGCAGGCCAACCACAGAGCCACAAGACCAGAGGAGGCCAGTCAAAACGCAAGGATTCGTGATGCAGTGGAACACGAATTTCGCAGGGAAGGCATGTCAGATGAGCAGCGTCAATCCGAGCGCGATCAGAATACGGCTTCACGGAGAAGACCACAGAGGGGACATGACGGAAGATCAGCGTCAAGCGGAGCGAGCGCTGAACCGCAGCCGCTCCCAGAGCTGGCAGAGAAGCCATGCCAGAAGACCAAAGGAAGCTGCGAAAAGAAAAGAAACGATTTCGCCCGGCCGACCTCGCAAGATTAAAGAGGGCCTCCACACACCACAAAAATTTTAACCCTTTCCGAGATTTTCCGGGGGGCGGTCCGCTACTGTCAGGGGCGA